AAAAAAAAAAAAAAAAAATCAATGTCTTTGATATAAAGACCACATACAAATTAGTAAGAAAAACACTTATACTTTAATAGGAAAATGACAAAGGGCATTAATCATTTCAATGAAGAAACTCAAATGGAATATAAACATATATTTCAAAAGTTCAACCTTACTGTAAATTAAATAGAAAAGAAAACAACAGCGAAGCATCATTTTGCCTACCAAATGGACAAAGATTTCTAAAGTTAGTGACAATATTCAATATTAGAGAAGGAGGACAACACAGCTGGTAGGAGGACAAGTTGACTCAATCTTCCTGGAAGGCAGTATGGCACTATGTATAAAGAGCCTCAAAACGCTTCATACCCTTTGACCCACTACTTCCTCTTCTAGGAAATTCTCAGAAAGGTCAGAGAGTGCAGAAGGCAAGGAATACTTAGAGCTAGAGGAGAGGTCCCTACACATGTCCACCATCCTCCCTTGGCCCCATTTAACATATACTATTTCTATGTTGTAAATAACAACATGATTTTCCCCACTTCAACCTGACTTTGAGCAGGAGCTGTTGCCGTCTAAGCACCCTGAACCATTCACATGCTCAGACACTGTGCTTTTTTCACATGGCCCCTCCAGGACACCTTTGCACTGGGCTGCAGCTGCAGGGAAGGCCGAATGTGTCCAGTCGCTGCTGGAGCTGGGAATGGACAGCAACCTGCGGGACATCAACGAGAGCACGCCCTTAGCCTATGCCCTGTACTGCGGTCACACCGAGTGTGTCAAACTCCTCTCCCAAGAGAGCAGGTGAGTACACCAGGAGCTACTTATTTTCTTATTCTTCTCAAATATTTATAAAATCGAATGAAATGTTTTAAATTGCCAAGGTGCACACCAATAATATTATTATAACTTTATAATATTAATGTTACCTAATATTAAAGACATTAAATGATTATATAATTAATGTTTCCCATTATCTAACACAGAACGAAGCATTTTGGGAGCAAAATGATAGCTGTGAGCTCTAATCCATCAGCCTAACATTCACTGAACTTGAGTGTCTTCTTTCCTTTTATCTCTTTCCTCTTCTCCTTTTGGCACATCCTCTAAATCCCCCTTTTGCCTCATTTGGTGAGTCTCAAACTTTTGTTCTCGGGACTCTTTTACACTCTCAAAAATTATTAAGGGCCCCAAAATAATTTTTGTTTATGAGAGTCAGACTCATCAATACGTATGGCATTAGAAATTAAAATTGAGAGGTTAGGCATGGTGGCTCACACCTGTAATCCCAGCGCTTTGGGAGGCTGAGGTAGGTGGATCATTTGAGGTCAGGAGTTCAAGACCAGCATGACCAATATGGTGAAACCCTGTCTCTACTAAAAATACAAAAATTAGTCAGGCATGATTGTGGGTGCCTGTAATCCCAGCTACTTGGGAGGCTGAGGCAGGAGAATCACCTGAACCCAGGAGACGGAGGCTGCAGTGAGCCAAGATCATGCCATTGCACTCCAACCTGGGTGATAGAGCAAGACACCATCTCAAAAAAAAAAGAAAAGAAAAAGAAATTAAAACTGAGAAATTTTAAATAAAATATTTTATTTAAATAAAATAAATTTAAATAAATTTAAATTTTATTGTTTATTTTATTTTAATAAAAATAAAATAATAAAATATTGTTATTCATTTAAATTAATAATAAACATTACATTTACATATGAACATAAATGCCATATTTTTAATTAAAAACTCACGTGTTTTATTTACTATTTCTATTTCCCAAAACAAAAATATTGTCATGACAAGAGCAGCATTGTTTTACATTTTTGGCAAAGCTCTTTGATGGCTTCATACAAGCTTAATAGAATACAGCTGGGGACTAGGCACAGTGGCTCACACCTGTAATCCTACTGCTTTGGGAGGTCGAGGCGAGTGGATCACCTGAAGTCAGGAGCTCTAGACCAGCCTGGCCAGTATGGTAAAACCTTATCTCTACCCAAATCACAAAAACTATCCAGGCATGGTGGTGGGTGCCTGTAACCCCAGCTACGAGGGAATCTGCAGCAGAAGAATCACTTGAGCCCAGGAGGCAGAGGTTGCAGTAAGCCAGGATAGCACCACTGCCCTCCAGCCTGGACCACAGAGCAAGACCTGTCTCAAAAAAAAAAAAAAAAGAATAAAGCTGGGTTCCACATCTGCTTTTTACATTCACTTTGTTGCAATGTAATGTGTTGTGTTTTTTTGGCTTCGGGATTTGCTTATTTAGTTATTTTATTTTATTTTAGAGCCAGAGTCTCACTTGTCACCCAGCTGGTATGCAGCAGCATGATCATGGCTCACTGCAACCTTGAGTTCTTGGGCTCAAATGATCCTCTCACCTCAGCCTCCTGAGTAGCTGCGACTTTACGCATGTGCCACCATGCCCAGCTGCCCAGCTGGGTTTTCTTGTTTTTTGGTTTTTGAAATTTCTGTAGAGATGGTCTCACTCTGCTATCCAGGCTGGTCTCAAACTCCTGGCCTCAAGCAATCCTCCTACCTTACCCTCCCAAAGTCCTGGGAATAGAAGTGTGAGCCATCACGCCCAGCCACAGTATCATGTTTTGATTGATGTATATAACAACAATCTGGACTTATATAAATATGTAGTTGGAAGAGGCAAGTGTATCTCAATAGGCTTTTCAGATAATTGTGTATATCTTTCTTTCTTTTTTTTTTTTTTAGACAGAGTCTTGCTCTTTCACCAGGCTAGAGTGCAGTAACAGGAACAGGATCTTGGCTCGCTGCAACCTCTACCTCCTGGGTTCAGGTGATTCTCCTGCTCAGCCTCCTGAGTAGATGGGATTACAGGCACGCGCCACCATGCCCAGCTAATTTTTGTATTTTTAGTAGAGACGGGTTTTCACCATGTTGTCCAGGCTGGTCACTCCTGACCTCAAGTGATCCACCCTCCTCGACCTCCCAAAGTGCTGGGACTATAGGCGTGAGCCACCACGCCCTGACATGTATTTTTCTTTGATAAGATATCAAAACTTAACAAGTAGTAATTTCCTATAGGTTAACTGCAATGTAGATTCTCACCATATCAATGAATTTTTTGTACTGTCACATTAGAATACATTACTATATTTTATACTTTAAATGGGTCTTATACACATGTGTGATTTTATTAACACCTTGCATTGGTCATGTGGAAAATATTAGTTGACTTAATTATGAAGATCTTCCAAATGACACATTTCATTATACAATATCAAAAAGTCACATTTGTCAGTATCACCACCAATCTCATTGGAAAAGCTTCATATATTGAGATGCTATCAAGCTTACAGAATGAATATAAGTTTTCTAAAATTCTAATTTTTGCTTAAAAGCTAGACTTCTGTCATTTGCTACAATAACTGTCAATTATTTATCTTGAAATGAAATATTCACTTTATTCATTTTAATATATTTTTATTTTATATATATACCTATATAGGTGTACACATTTTGATATAAATATACGCAGGGAGATGAGACGGGCACGGTAGCTCATGCCTGCAATCCCCACACTTTGGGAAGCCACGGCAGGTGGATCACTTGAGCCCTGGAGTTCAAGACCAGTCTAGCCGAGATGATGAAACCCCATCTCTACTAAAAATACCAAAATTAGCCAGGCATGTTGGCGCGTGCCCGTAATCCCAGCCACTCAGGAGGCTGAGGCACAAGAATCGCTTGAACTTGAGAGGCAGAGGTTGCAATGAGCCAAGATCGTGCCACTGCACTCCAGCCTGGGTGACAGAGTGAAACTATGTCTCAAAAAAAGTAAAATAAATAAATAAAATACATAATGAAATGATTGCTATTTAAGCCAATTAACATATCCCTCATTTCCCATAGTTACTTTTGTGTATGTGTGATAAGAACAACTAAAATCTCTCTTAGCAAATTTCCAGTATACCATACAATATGCAGTCCCCATGCTCTACTTAGATCTGTAGACTCACTCCTCGTACATAACTGCAGCTTTTTACCCTTTGACCTACACCTCCCACTCCCCCACTTCACCCTCACTTCTGGTAACCACTGTTTTACTCTCCATATCTGTGTATTTCACTTTATTTATTTTGCAGAAATTTCTGCAAATACTTAGCTCTACATAACCATAGTTTGTCTGTAAGGCATAAAAATGGTGTTCCATGAAAACAGTGTCAGTTCACCCCGCGACTCCAACAATTGCACAGCTGCTTTACCACAAGACAACCATCACTCCTCTGCATATAGCAGAATTGCTTACCAGTGCTTCTTGTTTTGTCAAACAAGTGTACTCAAGTCAATATGTAATCAAATTAATAACTTGTACTGCTAGCCCAGGCTCGGTGGCTCACACCTGTAATCCCAGTACTTTGGGAGGCCAAGGCGGTCAGATCATAATCAGGAGGTCAAAACCAGCCTGACCAATATGGTGAAAACTCGTCTCTACTAAAAATAGAAAAACTTAGCTGGGTGCGGTGGTGACTGCCTGCAGTCCCAGCTACTCGGGAGGCTGAGGCAGGAGAATCACTTCAACCCAGGAGGCGGAGGTTGCAGCGAGCCAAGATGGCACCATTGCACTCCAGCCTGGGTGACAGAACAAGACTCCATCTCAAATAAATAAATAGATAAATAACTTGTACTGTCTAAACAAGGACATTATTACATTAAATTACTTTTTTCTGCAAGGACATTGTTGCCACTATTGTCCTGATTTGTACTGAGGCAGCCACCATTTTACCCACCACCTCTGTTGCACCATCGATTCGAGGCAGCACAATGAAAAAAACTAATAACATTGTGGTGTTATTATGAATAGAGCTTAATGCCATGAAACCCTGAAAGAGTTGGGGGTCCCTCTCCAAGGGTTCAGTGGACCGCATTTTGAGACCCACTGTAACAGGAGGAGGAGATGCCTTACATAAGATGCTGGAAGAGCATCAGCTTACACAGGGACGTAATCTGCATAGGGAAACTTGAATGTCAGAGATGCGCTGGGGCTCTCTCTGGTAGTATGAGGAGCCTAGAATTCAATATTTCAAAAAGTCCATTGGCAGGTGAAAGAATAAAGATAAGACTACATCATGGGAATAACAACTCGAAGGATGCGCTGTGTGACCTGTAGAGAAAGCATTCGCTATATGCATGCAAAATAAGTGATGATGTTTTTCAAACTGCAGATTGCAATATCTCACTCCAAAAAGTAATGTTGCAATCTGACTCTTAGAGGCACACACATGGGTCAGGTTTCATCGTTAATTCATACCGCAGAAAGCATTAAGTCAATTGGGGCCTCAGAAAAGAATCACACAGAATTTTCCAAGGAACACAAACAGAATAGTGCCTCAGGGAACCTCTCGACAACTGCTGGCCTTTTTCCTTTATAATTTGCCTGCACATCGGGCATTGCTAACTTTCTTCTGTGACCACGCCCGACCATGGTGATGCACTCTTCCTCTCCTCTCGCTGGAGCCCAAACTAAAGCTTCTTTCCTCACTTTCCTTTTTTTTTTTTTTTTTT